TTTTGAATTGAACAAAATAAGAAAATATTTCTTGAGGATTCTGATGGTGTAAATATATTTCTATTTATGTGGGTAATAATGTTATGATTGGGCCTTGTCTCAAATAAGTTATGTTTCTTTGTACTCAAGTGTAAATATCTGCATCTGGAAAGGACTTAGCATACATTTATATTGAACTCAAAATCTTTATTTAACCTTCAAAATTGCTTGAAAAAAYTAATTTAGTTATTTTAGTACTTATTTCAATGAGTAATGCATCATTTTGGAATATTCATAATGTATAATATTTTTACTCAAGCTACAAATTTTCTTGTTATTAAATAGCTGCCACCGAAATCCCTAATATTAACATATAAACTATTTAATACAATATAAATAGCCCTATAGGTAATATGAATAGTTAGGAGTTAATTTTAAACAATAACCAATTTGTTTATCTATACCAATGGTCGGCAACTGACAGACCGCATTCCAAATTCGGATTGTGGAAGACAGAAAACTGAACCGTTGAAAAATATCTTACAATTTTTTTTCCTTCATATTACTATATAATAAAAATTTAAAGATTTAACTTAAACCTTTTTTCCCAGACTTAATTTATTTATTGTTTTAATTTTCTGGACTTCAATATAAATTAATTGCTGACCGCTGATCTATACGATTATTAAAATTATTAATTACCTTATTTTTCATCTTAATTTAAACATAATATGTATATTCAATAGTTATATCTATATGAATAAAAAAATGTAAAAATCGCTAAATCCAATAATTTTCAAAACTGTTTTGAAAATTTGACATAATTATGTAAAATATTCGTATATTAATAATCTTAAGAATGATAGTTGTTACTATAATATGTTATAATTTATTTTATTTTATTTGTTTTAAATATTTTTTAGAAGTGCCAAATATACTTGAAGCCAGTCAATTACTGTATTTGCGCACTTGGGATGGTGACATAAAGTATTTACCAAATTTCAAAATAATTCGCTTTCGTTGTTTAAATTAAATTAAATCTACTTATAAAAAATACTACCAATGTTGTTGATTGTTATTATTCCTAAAATATTTTCCTATTTGGTATTATATGTGTGAGTTTATATTTAATGATCAGGATTTTTTTTTCGATTAGGAAAGACAATTTACAATCTGTCCATAATAATATTACAATAAGTAAATTTGATGTATTTACATAGAATAAAATAGCATGAATGTTGAGGAAGAAATTCATTGGCAACACCACCTTTACTAATTTAATATATCTCTACACCATCTACGCTTTAGTCTGCAGGTGGGTTTTTTTGGGAGGGCAATGGTGGAAGTATAATTTAAAATATAAAATATGTGATTTTAGGGTATTGTTATGCATGTTTAAATTTTGGTGGAAATGTTTGTACACTGTTTTGGCTAGTTCAGTGCCTCAGTGGTAATAGTTATTTTTAAGTTATTGTGTAATACTGTAATGAAAAGTTAGAAACATACCTGGRGGCTTTGATTAGTAAGCTTAGAGCAGTTGATTTAAAAACCATAATGACGTGGGTTTTTTTTTTATTAATAAGAATATATTTACAATCTGTGTTAAAACAATAAGTAAATCTGATAATTAATTTATTTACAATAATTAACACRAATAACATGAAGAAACTATTTTAGATTTGTTTTAGATTAGCAAATCTCTGCAGTATTTTCTCTTGAGCCTATGAATGGGATTAATAGGTTGAATATTTGATGAGATTTGCGACACTAATGGGTTACTATGGGCAGGTAGCTTGGAATAGAAAGATCTGTAGTGTTTTGTG